CTTTAACTCCCACCTCTGGCAGAGCTTCGACCAGATCCCGAGGGAGATTGGAGACGCTGAGTCCGAATGGACCATGTTCTCCACCTCTATTGCCAATGTGGCTTCTTGGAGCTGTGGCCGTAAGGTCTCTGGTGCCTGTCGAGGCGGCAATCCCCAAATACGGTGGTGGACACCGGAAGTAAGGGATGCTGTCAAGCTGAAGAAGGAGGCCTTTCGAGCCTGGTTGGCTTGTGAGACTCCTGGCAGGCCAAGCGGACTGCAGCTCGGGTGGTTGTGGAGGCAAAAACTCGGGGAGGAATTCGGTGAGACCATTGAGAGGGACTATTGGTTGGCTTTGAAGAAATTCTGGCAAACCATCTGGCGCCTCAGGAGAGGGAAGCAGTGCCCTGCCAAAACTGTTTACAGTGGAGGTGAGCAGCTGTTGACCTCAACTAGGGACATCATCGGATGGTGGAAGGAATACTTCGAGGATCTCCTCAACCCCGGCGCCATGTCTTCCAATGAGGAAGCAGAGGCTGAGGGCTTGGAGGTAGACTCGTCCATCACCCAAGCTGAAGTCACCGAGGTAGTTAAGAAGCTTCTCGGTGGCAAGGCACCAGGGGTGGATGTCATCCACCCCCGGTACCTTAAGTCTCTGGATGTTGTGGGCTGTCTTGGTTGACACGCCGCTGCAACATCGCATGGCGGTTGGGGACAGTGTCTCTGGACTGGCAGACCGGGGTGGTGGTCCCTCTTTTAAAGAAGGGGGACCGGAGGGTGTGTTCCAACTATAAGGGGATCACACTCCTCAGCCTCCCCGGGAAAGTCTATGCCAGGGTACTGGAGAGGAGAATTTGACCGATAGTCGAACCTCGGATTCAGGAGGAACAATGCGGTTTTCGTCCTGGTCGTGGAACACTGGACCAGCTCTATACCCTCTTCAGGGTGGCACAGGGTTCATGGGAGTTTGCCCAATCAGTCCACATGTGTTTCGTGGATCTGGAGAAGGCATTCGACCGTGTCCCTTGCCCCTGTGTCCCCTGTGGGGGGTGCTCTGGGAGTATGGGGTCCGGGGCCCTTTGCTAAGGGCCATCCGGTCCCTGTACGACCGGAGCAGGAGCTTGGTTCGCATCGCCGGCAGTAAGTCAGACTTGTTTCCAGTGCATGTTGGACTCTGGCAGGGCTGCCCTTTGTCACCGGTTCTGTTCATTATTTTTATGGACAGAATTTCTAGGAGCAACCAGGAGCCGGAGGGAGTCCGGTTTGGGGACCACAGGATCTCGTCTCTGCTTTTTGCAGA